GCGCCGCTCAGTGACAGCCCACTGCTCCCTAAGGGGATAGGTCAAAATGCAGAGGTAAAATTCTCCAGTATGAGATTAATAAAGTTCAATTAAATCAATAATTATTAAGTCCCAATGGGCACAGTTTTCCAAGTTTTTTTTTGTCTTCATTTGGTAGTTCATAAAACTGCCAAGCGCTCAGCAAACCTGGCATCAGAAATACCAGCAGATGAGTCTGAATCGTGCAGACAAGATCTAGCAGTAGACATGCTGGTCTGTCATTCTGTTTGCTGTTATAAGTGCCATAAAACATTATCCAATGATTAGTGTCATTATCAATTGAATGCAAATGTGAGCTGTGTGTGTTGCTCACTATTCCCAGAGTGAACGTCGCTTTTGTTCACGTTCCTTACTTCAAAATGGATCCTTTCAGTTCAATTAACGCCTCTCAATGAAAGGCGTTCAATGAATGTGTTCATGCACAACACTCATAACTACAGATATCAGATATTTGGGTAACAGAAAAAGTAGAAAAGTGTGTTTAAAATAAAAACACTCATCTTGCTTAATGCTTGAATTTTTTCATTCTATCATTTTGAAACTAATAAAAGAAAGAAAAGATCGTAATATGACAAAAGGGGTGTGAATACTTTCCTGGTCCTCTGCTTATGGTCCTTATGTCTCATCTTTTCAGGGCGTTACGAGACGCACGCCGGTCTGAACGCCGAGGATTGTGGGATTCTGCACGGCTGTGACAATGGCCGGTGTATCCGCGTTGCAGAGGGTTACACCTGCGACTGCTACCAGGGCTTCGAGCTGGACATGACCTCAATGACCTGCGTCGGTACGTTGGGACGTCAGCTTTGCTGCTGCCATCAACACCTCGGTTTATAATGTTTGGGTTCAGCCCCTTTGGTCTCCATGCTGTCCGATGGCGAGTAGATGCTAAATCCACGTGGTGGTTCTCATGGAATGTTCTCATCACAGTTCAGCAATCCATTCCTCCGGGATCCTCCAACACACAAGAGAGTACAATTAATGTTCTTATTAGAATAAGCAGCGTCTTTAATGAGTAATGAATTATTTACACAAAACCTAAGTGCAGTCACAACCAGATATTTTTATCCACAATTACTTTCATTTTATCTCTAAAGTCATCATTAAATTCATTACATTAAAATGATCTATACAGCTGCCTTTTCTATCTCTGCTTGTCTCCTTAAACCCAGTCGGCCTCAGCAGATGGCAACTCACACTGAGCCTGGTTCTGCTGGAGGTTTCTTCCTGTTAAAAGGGAGTTTTTCCTCTCCACTGTCGCTACAAGCATGCTTAGTGTGAGGGATTACCTTCGAGTCAATGAGTCGATGCAATCAACTGGTTTTCCTTAGATAGAAAACTTTGAATCAATTTGACTTTATGATCTGGTTCAATTTTAAAGTGACTTGAGATGACATGTGTTGTGAATTGGCGCTATAGAAATAAAAAAAAAGAAAAGAAAGAAAGACGTCGGACTGAGCATCTGCCGAACCGACACCCCACCCACTGGCAATCACTCGCATCATTATTAAAACTTTGCCTGCCTGTTTTTCTTGCAGACATAAACGAGTGTGAAGACAGCGTGGGCCTGCAGTTCCCGTGCGTTAACGCCCGCTGTGTGAACACCGAAGGCTCGTTTCGTTGCGTCTGCAGGAGAGGATACGTCATGTCCCGCCGACGGAACCACTGCATCGCTGCTTAGGCCAGGCTGGACTGCACCGGGATCTATTAGACCAGTAAACAGGCTGAACTGGTTTTGCTGTTGAGCAATATATGACAAACTAGACTGGAGCAGAAGAAATATTACTGCACTGAAATAGTTCAGATGTTTCTGATTGCACTAAACCAGCAGAACTGTTTGTCTTGTGGACAGATTTAATGTCACCCTGATCCCCAGTTTATCCTTGGGATAGTTTTCCACAGCAGATACACTAGAAACACCCCCACTGTCAATCCAAACAGGAACAACCTCACAGGCTGCCAGTTTGGTGTCACTTCTGTCCACGTCTAAAGCACCTATCACTTGTTGGAAGCGAGTGAGCACAAGGTAGCCAACAACACATTGGAACACGGCAGGAGACTGATGGCTTTATGTTTGGAAGACACAAATTGGGTCTCGATGCATAACGTCCATCCAAGACAAAAGATTTCAACTTGGATTTGAGTTCATAAAGATTAAAGTTGTGATTTAAACAGCCCAGATTGTCAGGATTAGATTAGATTAGATTAACTTCCTGCTTGTGTTCTGACCAGCAGTTTTCCAACCTCTCACACTTCCCTCATGATCCATGCAGGGGTTGTGGCAGTCTCCATTTTCTTCACATAAATGCTCCACATTTTACAGTACAATCTTAACATAGTCAGTTCTGTCACATAAAGTAAAGCAATGCTGATTTTTTATTATTTCAATGGCTTTATTAATTAATGTTCTTTTCCTTTCTCCTGGTGCCTCACCACCCTTTGTGAGCTTTAGCATCTTAGCCACGAAATATAAGCGTTCTTTGTTGGCATCAGGGGCAATGAAGACTCAGGCAAAACGCTGGCAGAAATTATATGGTTTATTTGTATAGAACATAAAAAAAAACATATAAACAGGATTCTGTGCAACAAAAAGACTGAGAAATATATGTTTAAAATTTTAAGTTGAAACTAAAATAAATATACTATATATATGTCATCATAAGAAAAACTCAAACTTAAAGATTATAAAGTATTAAAGAGAACAAGGGCAAAAAAGTTACATAAAACAAACAAAAAAAGACCTATTTCTGACTTGATTCTTAAAATTCAGATTTTATTCTCACAGTTCTGACTTTAATTCAGAATTATTTTAAATTGTTTAAACATGGCTGAAAATAGACAAGTATGACTACTGAAATGGTATGGGACAATTGACTACCATGTCCTTTCACAGCAGTTCCTGCTGTCACAATAGAACTGTCACTTTAATTTAGTACTAAATAATCTATTAGGCTGATAATCGTGTCATGGAGTAAATTTAGAATTGAAAACTGGCTATTTTGACTGATGGGGTTTATCCTTTGCTTAAAACAAAACCTTTTAAGACCTTCAAAATAATAGATACACTATTCTACAAAATAAAAGCCCAAGTTTCCTTGGTAAATATGTAGACATTGAATTGATAATAGGAATATATCCTTATGATATCCATATCCTTAAGACACATCATGCGAGACTTTCAAAGTAATACACTCAGTACTGTACAAAATAAAAGCCTTACCATTATATACAGCAATTTATCATAGCACAGGGCTCAACATTATGACCCAAACTCAGCCATTTGTGGAAATGAGACAAATTAGACTGCCTGATGAATGCCTTTTCACAACAGACCCTTACTTCAAATTTCAAAATAAAAGGCTCCCATTTTCCCAGTAATATTGACCTAATAATAGGGAAACAGAGTGATTTCAGAATTGGAAATGGATGGCGACCCTATTCTTATGACACAACCATGCCAAAATGTCAAATACCTAATACTCCATAATTAATCCATTCATTCATCTTCTGCTTAGTCCTTGTCAGGGTCATGGTGGGGTCGATGTCTCTCTCCGGCAGTCTATATGGGCTGGAGGCGGGGTACACCCTGGACAGGTCACCAATCTTTCACAGGTCGACACAAAGACACACAACCATGGACATACACACACACTCACACCTAAGGACAATTTAGAGAAGCCAAACAGTCATGTTTTTGGGCTGTGGGAGGAAGCAGAAGTACCCAGAGAGAACCCACTCATGCAAAGGGAAAACATGCAAACTCCACGCAGAAAAACCCAGGGCCTGTAATCAAACCCAGAACCTTTTTGCTGCAAGGCAACATTGCTTCCCTGTGCTCCAACGTGCAGCCCACTCTACAAAATAAAAGCCTTTATATCTGTAAAGTAGATAATATAGCATTGGCCTAGAAATTATGGCTGTATGTTAAACCTTTCTGCAAAATGAATACCAGAATGTTTTCAAAACACAACCTACATAAAATTTTAGAGAGGCTTCTGGAAACAGTGTAATTAAAAAAACTACAAATGCATGAAAAAAAATATGTTTTAACTCATTAGCATGCTGGGTTACCATGAGGCAAATTTAACAACCTAAGTCAACCACAAGGTATGATGGCACAAGCCAACAGTCACAATCTCAATCTAGCTATACAAGGAAAACTACACCCAAAGTGGCAACCCCCCCAAAAATGTCCTCAGGAATTTTCTAGTTTAGGTAAAAATTAGCTTCTGCTGTGCTAACAGCTGGCAGCAGAATTAATTTGTATGGATTTGTTATTTAATCCACAAAAGAAATAGCCTAATATATCCACAACTTTGCTAATCTACCCTAACCAATTTGATGTTGTGAAATCTACTTAGTTAAACTTTCAATGTGGTTTTAGAAGTGTTTTAACTAGCACACAGTTAGCTTTGACTTAGCACACAAGCTTTCAGGCCCCAAGCAAAGCAGAGAGGCAGATTTTTAATGTTGTATACAATGAAGTGACGTCTGATTAGGAGTCAACTTTGAAGACATCATTTAAATTCAGATTTGAATTTGTAAATAGTTTTTTTTTTTTTTTTTTTTTTTTTTTAACAAGCTAGCATACTAGATAGCTAATTAGCTACCTAGACTGGAATTACTCGGTTTTAGTTGGGATTTGGATACCTAGTTGTTTTTAAACATCACAGACCAAATGTAACCTACTAAGATTAAAACATGTAATTTAATCAAATCTGATCATTTTAAACTAGTTCACTGAAAAATAAAATTTTTACACAATTTTAAGACACAGTACAGATCCGAATGTGAAATGTTATTCCACCAACTATTTATCTTATTTTTTAACAAATATTTGTATTTTATTCTTAGAGGAAAAGAGAATGAATACTCTAATAGATTAATTTGTGTTTTCAGTTGGATTTATGACTTAGATTCCATTCTTATTTGCCAAGTGTTTATCAAATGTGTGTATAAATATACCTTTTATGAAGTGTCGTGCTAAATCAAAGCTTTTTTTTTTTAAACACCTGAAACGTTCGTTAAAACATGCACTGTATTTGCCAAAGACCAGCTTTCACACAGCATATCATGTAAGCATTCTAAAAAACAATGTAATGGATTTATTTTTATTTTTGGTGATGATTACATTTTTTTCCTGTTATTGTTCCTATAAAAGTAAATGCAAAATTAACTTTGCACAAATAACCTCAAAAATGTGCTGCTGTGGTTTATGCTTTTTTGCTGATTCTATGTGGGTCACGAGTGGAAAGTAGGGTTGTCAGCCGTCCCTTGAAACCCAAATCCTCTCGTATTTGGAAGTTATTGAACTGATAAGGGACACTATTTGTTACGTATTTTCATGAATAACTAAAATACAGTAATTTCGGTGGTACTTGCGCACAGAACAACTCTAACTTGCGAGTGTGACCCATGTCTGCGTGTCCTGATTCTCTCTCCCTGCCTGCCGTAGCTAGAGCTCCTCTAAGCTCTAGTCTACTGTTCTTGATTCATCTTCCCTTAATGACGTCGTCCATCTAAAGCATTCTTCACTCGATAATCTCTCTTGGGGTGATAGTCATGGTTTCCTGGCGACGGTCCTGATGTTCTACAAACTGGGCGGTTGTGCACGCCAACTCGAAGCATCTATTGCAACATTATTCATAACAAGTGCCCAGCTGACATTAGACTTAGACTTAAAAACTTATACAGATTTTGCTTGTCATTTTGTTTACACAAATGTAAAACATAAAGAAAGTTCGTTTGAAAACAGCTCTCTGGACAATTTCATCTTTTTTTAAAATGCAGCCTTAAAAAATAGTGAAAATGACTGTTAATTTAGAGTTCTAACATTTTTTTTTTTTTTTTTACATATATAATGATAAAATACAATACAATAACCCATTTTACAAAACATTCAGCAGTCTAATGTCAGTGGGGAAGAAGCTGTTCTGGAATCTGCTGGACCTGCATCAGATGCTTCTAAGTCCATGGTGGGGGGGTGAGGGGTCATTGATGGTGTTATGGGCTCAGGACACGCAGCGCTGGGATGAAATGTCTTTAATGGAGGGAAGAGGAGCCCCGATGATCTTCTCTGCTGTTCTTACCACCTTCCTCACATTCTTCCAGACTGAGACGCTGCAGCCTCCACACCACACAGTGAGACAGCTGGTCAGAACGCTCTCTATGCTGCTTCTGTAGAAGGTGGTGAGGATGGGTGGGGGCAGGTGGGCTCTCCTCATCCTCCGCAGGAAGTACATGCGTTTCTGTGCCCTTTTGACCAGTGAGGTGGTGTTTACTGTCCAGGTGAGGGTGTCTGTAATGTGCACCCCCAGGAATTTGGTGCTGCTGACCACCTCTACAGCTGAGCTGTTGAAGACCAGTGGAGCATGGTTAGGAAACCTAGGAAAAGACCTGCTCAAGTGCATTCAAACAAATACGTAGAACTTTATACATGAATACTGCTAGTCTGAAAACTTTTTTCTTGTGTTGGCAGGAAAAGTATAGCACAACAAAGTGAGTCATTTAATAAACTGGGTAACTAATAACCAAAATAAACCAAATATAAGCACAAAAAAACATTAATATAGTACAGGATTTTTGTGCACAATGATACTGTGCAAACTTAACATTTCCATTTATTAAATATTTTTAATGGGCTGCACCTTATTGCAAGAAATACAAGCCACACTCAAAGAACAAAATAAAAGTATGGTTCTGTGTTGAGCTGAAACGGGACACAATTTGGTTAAAATGCAGGAAATTGCATCTAAGAAATGCAAAATTTTCATGGGGAGAACCCCCGCAACAATAAAGTTTCTCTTGGAAGACCGCATCCCTTATTTCCATTTCTGAAAGGTGGCAAGCCTAGTGGAAAGCAAGCCTTGCATGGATCAAGCTTTAAACATATGCCCTTATTGGTACATACTGTATTGGAAATTCCTCCTGATTACGCAGCACTAAATATTTTTATTCTAAGATTTTAACTTTGCTTAAAAATGTTCTTCTCTGACAGGAACAAAAGTGGAATATTACACCCTTTTTGCACCAGTGGGGGAAAAAAATATAATTTATTGTGTTGTTTCTTGTTTTTTTTTCTCAATTAAACTTGGTTTGTTTCCAAGGTGATCAGGCATGCTAACATTCGTTAGCAGGGTATTTGTTTGTTGAGTCACTGCAGAGGATGCTCGCGTGATGCCCGGCTCTAATTCTCTACCTGGATCCATAACCTTAGTGGTCGCTCTGTTTATGTAGATCTAGGCCTCTAAGCCACTTTGTATTATAGGCCAATCCATGCACTCACAGCCTGGCCACTTTTAAGAGGATTACAGAGGTCCAGCCGGGGCAAGGCTGAACCCGTGAGCCAGCGGAATATCAGCTTTCACTTTCATGGAACTAACAGCGCTGCTTAAATCTCAGCACACATCCTCATCCTGCACAGCCTAAGAACAGCAAACACAGGACACCTCACTGTCCATCAGGTTGTCTTTTTGGGTTTGGAACAATAAATAATAATCTCATTTTGTTTATATTTTAGAAGAAGAAAGTCCTGTCCTCCTTAGATACTTAAAAAAATGGTTCCTAGGGAGCTGGAGTCCGAACACAGAAATGACCTGAAAACAGAGGCGCTTACTGGAAAAAGAGGCACAATAAGTCAAGAACCTCAACACCATCAGTTTTCTAGGATAGATTATAGGAATAAGCGATAGAATAGTTATTTATAAGATATTTATAAAAGCTGATCCACAAAGTTT